TGTTGAAACCTACTCTGAGAGGAGGATATGCTGGGATTCTGCTTTTTGGAGGCCAGCACAGGAAGTTCTTGGGGTGCACTGCTCACCGGCTACAATCAAACAAATGCAATGACGTTACCAAAAGAAGGAATCTTTCATTTCTTAGAACAGTTTTATACTTTTGTGCAAGATATTCATTTGATGGCTTGATGTTTTTTTATTCCTTGCCTGAGCCTCAGTGGCAGTCTCCTCTTCAGCTTTCTTCTTCTTTTTCCTCTTCTTCTTGGATTTGGATGCTCCACTGGAGGGATCCTCAGTGTCCTTCTCATCCTCTGATAGCTGCCATATCAAAAACAGACATTCAGGTTGTTGGAAAATTAAAAACACTAAGCACTGTCAGCAGTGGTGTCCATGGCAGAAATAAATCTGTGTGTGTAGAGCTAATTTGTGGGATGGGCACCACATAAACATATAAATCAGGAAAGAGGATGAAAGGATTTCAGTTTTTTTTCTTTTTTTTTTTTTTTTTCTATTTTGGCAAATGTTTAACATCTTGACTTTTGTGTTGCTTCCTTAATGGTGTGCCGAATAACGCAAAAAGCATTCTTAAAATGTTTGGAAACTGGTGTAATAAGTGTCAGTAAAACCTTGTTGGGGACAGGTTGTGCCTTTTGTGGAGGTGCTGGTGTCACCAACACAAGGGGCTCTTCATAGTTTCCCCAGTGCTCTGCTGGGGCGTTCCAGTCGGAGCTGGGGTCCACTGCTGCCATTCCATCTTTGAAAATAAAATAAAAAGAAAGAAAAAAGAACAAGAGCATATATGGATATATAAATGGATACTCCTTGATCCCACAAAATCAAAACAAATGTATTTAATTTAAAGATTTTTTTTAAAGATTAGGGTTAAAAATTATTGGCAGCTTTTACATTTTAGTAATGATTCGCAGTTATTTAAAAGGTTGTTATGTAAGATGGGTTGCTGAAATACTCACTGAATCCAGACCATTCATCATCAACATCAGCATGGCTCGCCAACTGCATCTCCATTGAATTTGATATTGGGTCTAAGAGAGACGGATTGTAATTTGACATTGTGGTTTGGGTAATTGGGTTACTTCGACACTGAGCTGTTGAAGTAAAATGGAAAAACTACATCCGACATTTCTGTTTCTTTAATGGGTGATAAATCTGGCAGTTCACACAATACCAACCTCTGGTGTTTCGACCCAGCATGGACAAGGACACAGGGTTGAGGTCAGTCTTTATTCGGCCATCAATGCCTCCCCAGACCGCTGGCGAGAGTACACAGAAACACAGATTATATGGTTGGAATGCTGTTCTGTCAAACAGTGGAGCTCAGATCAGGCCTCAACATTCATTCGCTTACTGTATACAAAGACATTCCACAGTCTAAGCAAATAATTTAATCACTGCAAACATGAGGCTTTAATTAGATTATCACAGATTATCATTTTATTGTGCCCAATTTCAGCACTTTCACGTGACAGCTCATTGTGTTTGGCACACTACCGTCATTTACTTGACATACACAAGGACGACACTCTGTTGAATTTTTTTTGCTATACCACTTTTGCCCAGCAGATGGGTCATTCTAGCAGTCAAAGTAGCACTATTACTGTAGGCTGTCTTGGCACTGTGAAAAATGCTGAAACAGACACAAATGATATTGCATAATGAAAGCTCTGAACACACTGCTAATCCAAACACAGTTTTAACTGTTACTGTTGAGTCCCCTAAGGATAAAAAAAAGTCCTACACTATTCACTTGACATGGATGTCTCAAAAACCTTTACAGCTGAAAGTCAGCACTTTCACATCAATAGTCACTACATTGAAGATTCAGCTGTTATACTCCACTCCCAATATTTATATTTCTGTCTACCCAGGTCAGGTGATACCTTGCGGCTCCTGTGCCCAGGACTGGCGTTTAGGTGGGGCCCTGTAATGTGTAGATGTACTCCACTTGGTTCCCTCCATGAGACCCATCTTTCCAGGGATCTTCATAGAAATGTCAGTCAAACCTCCACCATTGACTGAAGGCTCCTCTTTCCAGCTGGTAGACACTGAGGGGACAGACATTGGGGTAAATCAATAACAACCTTCATTTTAGCAAATTCTGTATTTTGGAATGAAGACAAAACTTCAGGCTTGTTCATTTACTACACCCAGGGAAACATTTTTATGTACATCCTCTATTTAATCGTGATATTAGACAAAGCTGTACTAGGGAAAAAATTACATAAGAAAAATAAACAAAGAAAAGACAAGCTATTTAATAGGTTTCCCATCTCACTAAGAAAAAATATAATGGTTTAGCTTTGTCTTTACCAGCTCCACTGGCTGCATCCCCTTTCCCGGTGGCTCTTGCATGCAGGGACTCTGAAAGAAGTGGGGAAAAAACTGTATGAGTAACATGCAATATTACTGTTGACATCATGCGCTATATACAGTATTTGCTTAGGCCTGTATGTTAAATAAATTCTAAATCACACTTTTAATGATAGGCCAAAGCCTTAGATTACCAAATGTCCACATAATAACATAGATAAATACCGTGGTTTCCTCTGTTCTTCCTGGTTTTGGTAGGTGCTGTGGCAACATGAGCCTCCACATTTGTCTTCGGAGCCTCCACCCCTCCTGGACTACCAGAGTCCTCAGAGCCCTTGTCCTTTCTACGCTGCTGCTTCTTCTCTCGGTTACTGACTTTGGTCTCCCATGCGCCTGGTGGACACAAAAAAACAACATCAAATTGTTAGGTGACTTTGTGTGTGCAGGGCAATAATAAAGAAGTATTTAAAATGGTTGATTATGGATCAAATTTGGTTGATTATTTAAGCAAGAGGCTGGCAACAAGAAGAGGACCGCATAATGAGTGTGCAAAGTGAAGCTAGCCAAAACCATCAAGTAGGCTGTAAATACAGAAAACACGAGGGGTGTGAAACAGTCAGTTTGGAAGTGAGAACTTATTATGAAATTTCCCCTATGACAGTTGAGTCTTACCATCGTCAGGTTCCTTCCCGTCATTTGTAGACACATGTGGGACCGGTTTCACATCTGTCTTGGTTTTCTTCTTGTTCTTTTTCACCTGCACTGGGGCCTGTACCTCATGCACCTATGGATAGAGAGAAATAAAAGTGATATTGAAGTATGGGGATGTCCTTTAAGGCCATGCCACACTAGCAAATCTGACAAAGAGTGACAGTGATGTTTCAGATATAGTTTACCAATAACAAAACTGTCTTATAATACGGAGCGAGACTCAAGAAACACTTGGTGCTGCCTTGCCCAGTCTGCCCACCAACAACCACCACCATCAGTTTCAGATCCACTTAGTTTTAGCAGCAGCTGCTCAAAAATACCTTCTCAGTTTTGATCTGCGGGGCTTGCTTGGAAACTGCCTCAGTCACTTTAACTTCCTCCTGAGGTACAGCCACTGGTTGTCCGTTGGATTGATTCTTCTGGGGGAGGAAGACAGACATCAGATAAACAACATGATGTTGATGATCCAGTAATATAGCAAAAATGACTTACCTAAAGTCTGATCTAGCATTGGCAGACTAATCTGCTACATGAACGTACGTTTTTAAAAGAAAATGTACGTTGCTGAAACTACTAAAAACAAGATCCACTGACTTAAATAACTGGTTACACCTCACTACAAAGACTTTTAGCTGTGAGCTGAATACCAAACGTAGTCCGGAACTTATCCTGCTGACTGAATAACAGCTGCACATAATCGTAGATGTGTGAAACCCAGGCGATTTTTACAATATTAATACAGTTTATTCATCAGACGTGAAGGCAAGCAGTAGCTATGCTTTAGGGGTTATCGTATAAGTGTTGGCTAACGATAATGTTTTAACCAAACAGCTTTAACTCAATTAGCTAACAATCATTAGTAGCTTTGTCAGTTGGCACAGCTAGTTAGCATTCTTCTCTAATCAATACACCATGATTCGTTGTTTATTTAACGTTAGCTAGCTGGTTTATGTGTGGCACATGATCCATACATAGCTTAATTAATGTTGTTTACACAGAGTGGGATGTAACGCTAGCGTTGGTTCATTTCTGGTGTATGAGATAGCCAAACTGGCTGACTAATAAAGTAGCAATAAGGATAAATGTATAAACTAGCTTAAAGCTAGCTAACGCTAACTGACTGACCACTTTCGTTTAGCATGAATTGTGTGTGCACCAATGATCGGACGCTGATGTTCTGATTGGACCACCGTGATTCAGCAGCTCGTTAAACACCGTCTACGGTACCTTTTCTAGCGTTTTCTTTTTGTTCCTCTTCTTCTGTTCTTCTGGTTTGGCCGTTTTAGCTACATTGGCCTTCTCGGGCTCACAGCTGCCGTGGATGACCGGGGATCCTCGCTTTTTCCCGACGAGCGCACCGCCACAGACGGCGGCCCAGGACAGACCGAGCAGCAGCAGCAGACCCACCGCGGCCGTGGACAGGATGACCCACGTCGGGTAAAGCTCGGGCTCCAGACCCAAATCCACCCCGAACTGAGCCCGAACAAATCCTTGTCCCGAAGACAGGACCTCCTTCAAACGGCTGGAAAGCAGTTCAGCTTTTTCCAGCGCGAAGCCCTGGAAGTCCCCAGCCATCTTTCCAAACAGCAAAAACACGAGCTAACTGTTAGCTATCATCACCAGCATCCGTATGCTAACGGAGGAGTGGCTAATAATCTAATCCGACCGTTGGCACAGATATCAGTTAAACTACAGTTGGTAGGAAACAAATACTAACGTTACTTTATTGTGTTTCAAAGCAGCAGTTTTAGCTACAGATTACGGGGTTGGGCCACGTCTAAATCATGTATTTAAGCTATTATTATAACCAACTACTCACCGACATTTTAAAAATAAGGCTGTTTAATTAAATTGGCTCTCTGGTGGCTGTATGAGGAGATATTTCATCACAAATAAAAATAAAAAAAAGTTTCACAATAAAAGTTTCACAATAAAAAAAATTTCACAATAAAAAAGAAAAATAATTTTACAAAACATTTTTATTGTTTATTACATACGATGTTAAAAACGAACCATAGAAACCAGCAGCCAAAACTGCAGACCCAATAAAATATATCCCAGGTAATTAACAGTCTCCAAAAGAAGTACAGAATAATCTCTCCTATCACACCACTCATTATTTATCTTCAACCACAACTCATACGCCTGTTTTGTAACATGTTGAGGTCAATAATGAGCAGAGTTTGTAGTCCATATGTTCACCTTATTCCACTTAGCAAACTATATTGACTAATTAACTCTTGGTGTAACACCTTGTACAGCCTTGACCATTTTTGGTCAATAACTGCTAAAAAAATAAATACATGGATAAAATGTAACAGTGTCATTTCAGTTTCAGAAGTCTGCATCTAGAGTGAATTCAGAGTCCATCATGCTTGGCATAACTCCAAATCGCTGATACTCCGCTACTCGTTTCTCGAAGAAGTTGGTTTTCCCCTCTAGTGAGATGGACTCCATGAAGTCAAATGGATTTTCGGCCTGGTATGCCTTTGATTAAAGGCGAGAGAAAAAGAACACAAAATAGAATCCATTAAAACATCTTGATGTTATTAAATAAAATTTCTTTAGTCAATTATTGTGTAAAGCATATGTTTTTAGTGGTCATTTTTATAAAGACTATGGCTGTTGCAGTGAGTCTTTGCAACCCAGTAGTCCTCTGCTTTAACACAACACCTACTAGAATGTAAATTACCATTTTCTTATAATATCTGTTTTAATATATTATTACCTTGGCCTGTCCGAGGTCAGAGAGAAGCCGGTCGGCCACAAACTCAATGTACTGCTTCATCAGACAACAGTTGATGCCAATGAGATCCACTGGCAACGCCTCTGTCAAAAACTCCTGCAACACCAAACGTTTGTTTTTATATACAGAACTGGTATGGCCTGTCAGTTTGGATTTTCATAATCAGAAAATAACCAACTGACTGTTAAGCTGCTATTGATTTGTTGCAATGGGAGTCAGTATAGACAAAGTAAACAGTGATAAACAAGCAGACATTCATATACTGTATATAACATAATATATTCTCTGCAACACTTGCTGACCTGCTCAATGCTAACAGCTTTGGTGATGATGTCCTTCACTCGGTCCTCTGATGGCTTTTTCACCAGGTAGCTATACAGCAGGCAGGCAAAGTTACAGTGCAGGCCCTAAGAAACACGTCAATATACATGTCAGAATAGTTTATATAAAAACAGAGAAGATCAACCGTGAACTGTTTTCAAATGCAAACTGTGAACATATTTACCACCCAAACAGAATGAGCCACAGCTACTCTGAAGATGTTTAAATATAGAAGTGTGGATAGAGGAGTTGAATCAGCCAGCAGTCACATCAGAGGACTGGCAAGTAATATAATATAAACAGTAATATAATACAGTAACCTCAGAGTTAATTGAATGGCCTGAAAGGAGAGGAAACATGTGCACAGCCAAACCTCTACGCTGAGATCAAACTTAAGTCTTCTTTCTCATTTTGTACACCACTGTATTTTATTTCAGTTGCACTCAAAATTGAGGTTCTTTTTACAGTTTAAACCACATGTCTTTTGGTTAGTGATTTCATCTCACCTCATCCCTGCTAATCAGCTCGTTGGAGTAGGTAAGGCCAGGCATTAGTCCTCTCTTCTTGAGCCAATAAATGGCAGCGAATGAGCCGGAGAAGAAGATTCCCTCCACTGCTGCAAAAGCCACAATTCGCTCCCCTGAGGGCAAAGTGTCAAAACTACTATTTACTACAGATTAACGGAAAGTCCCCACTCTCTCATTATAATGTGATACAACAATATCATGTTTTGAATGTTGTATCTTCCTTACCAAATGTGGATTTGCTGTCATTTATCCACTTGAGTGCCCAGTCTGCTTTTCGTCTCACACAAGGCATGGTCTGAATGGCGTTAAATAAGAAGTCTCTGAAACACACAATTAATAAAACAGCCCTAAAATATAGCAAATATATAACAAATACAGTACCTTTATTGAGACCCAACAATGAATTGTGCCTGAACACTGTGTTAAATGGTAATAAAGTTGAATTGTACAAACATAAGACACAAAAAGTGGAAGAGAGTCAAATGCATGCTGTGCACCTGTCTGTCTGTCTGTCTGTCTCTCGCTCTCTCTCTCTCACCCCAACTGGTCGAGACAGACGACCACCCACCTAGAGCCGGAGGATCTGTCCTAGGTTTCTGCCTTTTAACAGGCAGTTTTTCCTTGCCCTTGTCGCCAAATGCTTGCTCATGGTGGTACTGTTGGGTCTCTGTAATTAATGTTTTAAAGAGTTCGGTCTAGACCTGCTCTATTTGAAAAGTGTCCTGAGATAACTTTTATTTTATTTGATAAATTGGCGCTATACAAATAAAATTGAATTGAATTGAATTGAATGCAGAATAATACATATTGTAAAAATGTATCTTCCTAGTCTGTAGGTACATGGAAGCTGCTGCAGTTGGGGATGCAACAGAAATCACCACAAAGTGGTGTAGACTTTGCCTGTGATGAACAGGTGCAAGTTTTACGGTTTGTTTGGAACCTTCAGAAGATTAGATATACGGGAAGAAATTGTCTGTATATGGTTATGCTCTGGCTCCAAACGCACAGAGGAAACTACATTTTTATATCCTGCTGTCGTTCTGAGCTCTTCTAAATTGTGCTTAATTTACAAAATACACCTTTCACCAGTGACCTGCTTTTGCATGTAAGTCTGTCAGAGCCACTGGGCATCAGAACAAACTAACCTCTCCTTCAGGTCCCTGATGTAAGTGTTGATGAGCATGCTGTACATCTCTGAATGAACAGTCTCTATAAGGATCTGGAAGCTGTAGAAGGAGCGTGCTTCAGGGACCTGCACTTCCTGGCAGAACCTCTGCACCTGTTAGATAAGACATAAACACAATACATTTTATATGTGACTTTAGTGGGTCATGCTCAACAATGGTGCACCTCTTCAGAGGCATTAAACCTACAAAACATCAGTTACAAGCGAGTGACACCCCTCTGACCCCTCTCACCAGGTTCTCGTTGACGATACCATCACTTGCAGCAAAGAAGGCCAGGACATGGGAGATGAAGTGTTTTTCTTCAGGCTTCAAACGGTCCCAGTGTGCCAAATCTTTGGATAGATCAACCTAAAAAACACAACATCAACAGTATATTTTAAAATACTTTAAAAGTATTCAGAGCTGTTTACTTATGACAGGCTACCATCATATCATATATTTGTAATTTAAGTTACTTCCGTAGTATTAGTATATACATTTAGTCAATTAAACTTAATTTAGTTAACATCCTGTACATATTTGAAGTGAGGATCAGTGTGTGATTGTGGGTTTTTCCCATAAGCCAGCTGGTGAAACAGAAGAATTAAAGTACATTCAAAGTGATACCCACCTCCTCCACCGTCCAGAAAGACGCCTGTGCCTGCTTGTACATCTTCCAGATGTCGGGGTACTGGATGGGGAAGACGACGAACCGTCTGAGGTTTTCTCGGAGCAAAGGTTCATCCTCTGTCTCTGAACCATTTTGGCAGTCTGGGTCTTTATCTTTATGGCCACTCTACAAAGAGCCAGAGCCCAGTAAGTAAACAGTAATTAATACAAATGTGTAATATTATCTGGTTTAATGGCTAAATCTGGGTTTGTCAAATATAAGCAGCATGTCAACTACGGCTTCAGACTGTTTTAACCACGTGTTAACATATTGTACCTTTAACTACAAAATAGCCCAGTGCGCTTGCGCATTAACTCCTTAACATCCAAAACAAAGGGCATATCGTATTTAAATGTCCAATATAAGGCTTATGTGCGTTTATAAAACTTATTATCATTGCTAGCGATTATCTTATCACCTTAAATCAACAGTTATTCATTTTAATCGACGTTGTATCCGACAACAACCTAACGTTACACCGTCACTACCAGTTAGCATAGCTTACACAAGCAGACGAGGCCAGTTTTCATGCGGCTAAAATGTTGGTTTAAAGACTTACATTTGCAATAACGTGTTTCTTTTTAAAAAAACAAAAAACTATAACATTAATGTTACAGTACGAAGCTGAAACGCCTTTATTTACCCGAAGGTCTCCCACTCTCGAGTGAGATGGACACACTACCATTACTGCAGATTAGTTAGTAGTTATAACAGTAGCTGTACTGAAATCGCTTACCGATTCTTTAATTTGATCAGATTGCCGGTTTATTAGATCCATTTCCCGAGAAGACGTCCTTTTCACTGTCGGTGTCATTTAGTTTGACTCTAGCTACTCCTCCGTATCACATAACCTTGCGTGGATGCAGCTGTAGCTTTGTTGGTTAAACCATTTAAACTGACACACAGAGGAGTGTAGCGCCTCTAGTGTTCAATCACAATAAATGTTATATTACAAAACCATAAGACCCACAGTTCAGATGACGTGAAGATTTTATAACTCACACTTCACTCACAATATGAGTCATTATACTGCAACCTTTGTCATGTGCGGAGGGGGAAAAAAAATGAGTAAAACAACAGAAGGGGAAAGTACAGTTAGTTCAGTCTGATAAATGCTTTTTATTTGACAGGAATGTAATTTGACATCATTAATACAATTAGCCTGCTTATAAATGTATTGTAAACATAAGGGAATCATTCCTTTTGTTTTCAATGACAGCAGGGCCATAGTATGAATTCAGAGCTGGATGTCATTGTGGGCGAGCCAACAAATCCAGTTCGCTAGACTGGTATGTTGTGTATCCCCAACCGGAACACGTCGTTTGTGCATGCCCATGCACAGTTCTGGGACTTCAGCATAAACACTTGATGAAAGGCCATTGGTGGATCGTCATCTACCTGTTACAGAGAAGGTTTTGGAAGAAGTATTGTGAGTATAATGAGTATAATGATGAGAAAACATAACTAAGGCAGAAAATAAACCCTGTATGATGGTTTATTTTTATTAACTCTTTGAACATTTGTGATAAAACAAAGACAATTTTCTACAGTTAGGACAATGGAGTTTGATATACAAGAAAGTCTTTGCACTTTTATTAAATTTAGAGAGTAAAAATGTTTTGAGGCAACGAGAATCAGATGCAGCAGGTGTACAGGGCGTTAAATAAATAGCGCCAGGTTATCCCACATAAAACAAAAATGTATTGCAGGTTGTATATCTGTGGATCTGGGGCCTGCACCACAAAGCTTCACTGTGGTTTTCCAGTATCACGAAGCTGGCTCACTTTTAACCCGGGTTAAATCATCACGCTAACCTGGGTTGCACAGCTAACTTGCTCAAGAACAGGTTAACTTGAAAAGGATCAGCTCAAAGATCACCAAACTGTCAACAGGCCGCCCACAGACCAGTCAGATCACTGGTAAAAGGACAGCAATCACAAGTAATAGAGCAATAAAAGGTTTTATGGGTCAGTATACTTATTTTGCTGTTCCAGGCCTTCCATGAGTCTATTCTGATTTTAAAACAGAGCTTCTAACAAATAGAGGGATAGTTTACCACAGTAAATACATACAATACAAATATAGCTACATTTTAATTGCAAAGTTTCTTTCAACAGACAAAATTCCTGACGGTGTCGATGCTTTACACTCTTGTGCCAAGTCGATTTTGTGACGATAATAGATAAAACCTACACCCTCTATTTCTCTTTTAAGAAAAACAGTCCAAATTAATTTGTTCCTACGAGTAAAAAATGCAACATTTTGGTCGGACAGACATAAACATGGAAGCTGGCTTTGGAAGCAGAAACAGCCTTACATTACTATTAAATGTTGTTGTTGTTCAACAGCAAAATCACTGTACTTAAGACATACTGTAATAATTATTCCCACACTTATTTATAGCCTTACTTTAACATGAGAGACCCGACCAAGTTGAATTTGCTTTGTAATCCAGGCCCCAGGTGCAGATAACAATGGTTATCAACAAAAATGTTAAAGTTACCTGTAACTGTCCGAACACCATGATGAGGATACAGCTGTCTATCGTGGGTTGGAAGTCTTGTTCTGTAATAATGTGCTTAATACGCTTGAAAGGCAAGCCCTGCAGATTGGAAACAATAGTGTTAGTGGAATGTACAAACACACACACACACACACACACACACACACACACACAGAAGACTATAAGCTGCAAGTGAACGTCTGTGATCCTTTTCTCTCTGTTACTACTAACCTTTTAGGGAAGCCTACTTTTTACTCTTGTAGATTGTAATTAATACAAACAGAGTGAGAAGAGATTCTTACTGCTAATTTTCCAGCGATAGCTTCTCTCCCAAGAAAAGGTGATCCTTCCCACGTCAAACAGGCTTCAGCAGACTAAGAAAAAAGAATAAGGAGCATCAAATGCATGCATGCAATAATTTCTTTTATCATGCTTCAGTAACTGTGATGGAATTTAGTTTGTCAGTGTGAGATATTTACTTTGTAAAATGTGAACATCTAGAACTAGCCACTGACAGATAAACATTTAAAGTCACCTGCTACTCAATTGTAAATCCTTTTTTTATTGTTTGTTGTTCAGCCAGCCACTTTTATACTTTACCAGCTTTTAACTGGTGCTCATTTCCCATCCTAGTCAGTGTTGATGTTCCATATATTTGTATTAAAACAGGCAGTTATTAAATGTACACTGAACAAACTTACATATAGGTTACCCAGTCCCATCCTATTGGTATTGTCAAACTGGTTGTAATATTCTTGGACAAAGCCCTCTCCGATCTTTTGCCATATTTCTTTCTCGCCAGCCATGTGTGAAGCTTTGAATCTGTAAAAGAGAAGATCCTCGTCATTAGCAGTCAGTCGAAGATGCAGTAGACCGCAGGCTGTTTGCTGAAATACAAATAAAACCAAAAATACTCTATTCAAGTCTAATCGGCTGCAAGTCAGCTTATAGCCTGTGCTCAGACTGCAGGCCAAAGTGAACAAAATCAGATTTGTTTTGCTTATATGTGACTCAAATCTTCAGATAGTGTGAACAGCAACAAATCTTTTCAATTCTGGTTCAGGCCACTTTCATATGTTGTCCACATCAGACACAGGTCTGTTTTATTGACCTCAGGGTGAACGGTCAGATCAAAATTCATGTGACTTTTCCTTCACTCTAGATTGACATTCATTATGCAGGTCAGGAGCATCACAGTGGAATCTGACTGGGACCACATTAAACATATAATATGAATAATCCAAAAAATAAATAATTAGACATGTGCAATAAATCAGGCTTGCAGTGCAGCTTCTGACTCTACATTTAGCCCTCTACTATTACAAATAGGTATGACAACAGTGTGTTGCTTTCTGGATTAAGACCAATACAACTCAATATGAATGCATAACTTTGGCATGTCTCAGTCTGTGGGACACTTTAGGTTGCGTTTTCACACAGACATTAGAAAAGTCGTAAATTAATGCAAAACTATGGAAGAAATGAGCCCCAAATATGCTTTGTGTATATATGGGAAACACTGGGTGAGTTGCTCGGGGATACAGCTGTAAATAAACAACTGGAAAAACCCACAGCCTCCTTTAAGTGATGTATTGTCTTATTTATGCTAATCCCGAGCTGCAACGATAAGAACAATAACACTGAGTTGACATAAACAAAACAAACTTACACTGCTGAATCTGTTATAAACCAGCCAACCATGCAATAAACCGTGAGTACGTCTCGAGGCGTAACGTCATTAAACGTCTGACCACAGTCACGTTCATTTTAAAGTTACCAGGGGCTTGATAGAGAATATAAACAAATTCAAGATGTTACAGCCGAGCTAGTCCGGAGATCGAGGAGGATAGCTACCTACAGCCGGTGTTAAATAGAAAACTAACCACAAACCCTGTCCACTGTTCAACACCGAGAGCCACCGCCATAAGTTATCCAATAACCTAACTCATGGCTAACGTTACCGTTAGCACACAGATTTTCCCGGAAACGCTTCATTCACGGTATCCCGATTACTCTCGTCTCAACAAAACCGTGTTACCACAGCTGGACAAGTTGCTACGGAGAAGCCTTTGAACTAAAAACCAGTACTTTACCGTGTCCGTAAGTTTTAGCTTACTTTTTTTTTTTTTCAATCAGCGGGGCAAAGCCAGCGTGGAGACAAATCCAGTCAAATCGAGGCTGATGGGGTTCCCGCTTCCTCCGAGTAATGACGACTTATGACGTCGCTCACAAACTGACCAATGAAAGACGGTGAATGGTGGAAGTTGTTGCCCTGAGTTCAGCCTGTCAGGAGCTCGTTCTGCCCGACTCTGTACGACGTCCAACTAACCATGCCTCTAACGAGATCAGTACCCCGGTTCAGGCGGCTCGAGTTTTAGTCCTGTCAATCCTGGTGAATGTAAAGGAGGCGGGATTTGTATGCCGAGCACTGCCTGACAAACGGAACTCAGAGGAATAAATCTCAAAACTTATTTATGGGTTAAGCATTATGGCCAAAAGTGAGCAAGGGGAAACAAATAATAATGGGACATGCAATAGACTTGTCTCAAATGAATCTTTAATGAAAATTTAAAAAACGTAAAGCAAAACCAACCTGTAAATAAAAACATGTTTATTTCTAACTATTTTGGCAAATAATTAAATAATGAATCATAGCGGTGTGCTGTGTAAAGCCTCGTTGGATGCGTAAGGTTCCTCCAGTTATTGTTCAATCACAGCTCCATCCATGGTCAAAATGCTGATTCATCAGATAGTCTGACTTGAGAAATGAACACAATTCATCTATAGTGTGCTTTTATTGAAAAGGTGCCCTCAAAGATGTAGCCCCATATCAGTGAGGCAATAAAATTAAGTAAATGTTTTGAAATGGAAGACATTAAATGCTTAACTGGATGAGATATTGATATCACAATATTGCTTGGAGAGAGTGATGAAACATAAGAAATACAGATGAATTCCTAACAGCGTGCAGGTCTTTACAAACACCAGTAACAGGAATGTAATTTATAAAAAAAGCTGGGTTAATTCTTCATGTAATACATTAAGATCTTTACAGCTCCTACTATTGTACCTTCTTTACAGTGTCCTATTGGCAACTGGGGTGACTTTGTCCTCCTGACCTGTCAAAAATCCAACATCTGACATTGTTTTCTTCACAAATAGTGAAAAGTACAAGACTGACAGAAATAAGACCCATTTAGGCACTTTTAAAATCATTTTGCTACAGTTCAGTGCTTGTTGCTTCCAGGAAAATGACACTCTTCACGCACTTGACTTCCAGGGACTTGTTCAGAAAGGCTACTATTGCTTTGTTGAGGCCACTGCACCAATAGATCCTCCTGCAATGGATGGCAGTAATAGTTGTCTTTACAGTTTCACCAAACAGGCCTCTGAGGTTAGAACCAAGTTATGTGTTAAATGTTCTAGTGTGTCACTGCTCTGGCTGTGATGTGAAATAATCATCTGTCCGGAACACGCTGGGGATCTCTTGATGCTGATGTGGTGCTGGTCTTCTGGGGCTGGCTGGTTTCTGTGAATGAACAGACACAAATGAATCCTAATTATCCAATAACACTTCAGTAGAATATTAACAACTACTGGGCTGGATTTTAAAGGTTTCTTTGAAAAATGGTCTCAACTCAGGAGGGACAAAACACAGTTTCACAGCATAATTTGCTCATTAATCTCATGATTGTTAATACGAGAAGACATACAAACTATAGGTACTGTGCATACAAATGTAAAACTACAAATTCAGAAGCTCTCACATTTAAGAAGCCTGGGACACTCATTGTGCGAAGGATCTTCTTGAAAGCACCCGGTAGTGTCCCTAGTTCTCCCTCTGCCTGCGTGACCTGCTCCTCCATCGCGTTGACGTTGGCTCCCACCATCTTTACAAAGGCCTGCAAGCACATAAGAATAATATTGCAACATTATATGAGACAAACATCATTCAAGACAATTCAACATCACACTAAAATAAACATAAAATATAAACTAATACATGAAACTAAAGGTTTCACATGCCTATGCAGGCAAAGAATCTACTGTATCTTTCACAATCTGTAAACTATTTTAACATTAATGGGATCTTCTTTAAATATGAGGTAGATGAGTGAACCTGAAATGATGTTTGGAAAAACTGAATTCAAAAATGTTCAGTGGAATTAAATAATAGAAAGTAATATAATAAATGATGAAATATTCCATTGCTGAATATTATTAAAGCAATAGCTTTCATAACTTACGATTATTAAGTATCATTAGTTACTCAGTGGGTGTTAAACATTATTAGGACATAAAAACAGGAACCTACTACACACCTGCATTTACTTCCATTTTTGGAAGTGGAGATATTAAGCTGGTTACGTTGTTCATAACATCTCTCAGTTTCTCCTTTTGTGAAGAGGATATTTCACTTGAATCATGAATAAAAACTGCAAGCAAATCCTGTTTACACTGTGTTACATAATTGGTATCATGTTACATTCATTGCAGAATTGTAAGTGTAGCTGGCAGTCTGCTGTGGCCACAAGTTGCCATTTACTGGATCAAGTCAGTAACCCCTTCAGCCTTGCAAAGTTAAAATGATCACTTACCTCTAACTTATCAATTCTTCTGTATATTTGTCTCATTTCATCAGACTTCTGCTGGATTTGAGGTAGGTTTTCATTCACGATCTGGGAAGTATCATTACGGATCTAGAGGAAAAACACAAAAGCACGTGAGATACAAATGTGCATGTAATTCAACAATAATTAGATGCAGTGCATTAATAATATGTATCTGTGTCTTAGCTTACCATATCCAGCATTCCAACAAACTCATCTACTCTTGTCAGCATTTCTTCCAAGTTCTTCTCCAAACACAGGATCTAGAGGAGAAATCATTAAAAGAAAAGGCTGTGAAAATGTTGTACACACACACACACACACACAAACTATGTAGAAACCAAAGATACATCAAATGCATAAAATAAACGGCACCATACACTTTCTGTGCGTTTAAATCAGTCCCACATATCAGTTACAGCTGGAATTCAAAAATATGCCTTTAAATTGTGTCAGTGAGGACCACAGGGCCAAAACACAGGGGCCTTTTGTCTTCCTACAGAGCCAGCAAGCAAGCTCAGCTTCTTTCTAAACTGACTGGTATCACGCATATCCAGTTAATGTCAACTCAGGAGTGACAGCAATCTGGTCAGTCAGACATAACATGAGTAAAGCTTGAGATCTTTGAGTTCCTTACAAATATGTAAATAAAAATGTCATTAGATTGGTTGCAGGATGATTTATGACTTATTTAGGACTTGAAAATACAGCATTAGGGGTTTGGATTTGACTTGGGACTTTTCAGTTTTGACTGGGGACTTTATAACCAAGACTTTACACTTACATGTAACTTACAGAACAACGCCTTTGTCCAATCTCTCTGCCATAAAACATCTCCACATCTCAATAAATCAGCATAGGTGCTGTCATGATGAACCTGAGCCAGTGACGACACTCCGCTCTTCAGTGTCACTTCATATATGTCGCTTAGCAACCACTTGTCTTGTCCGTTGGTGAAGAACTGCACAGCTCGTTAGTCGTCGCGATTTATTATTAGCCACGTAACGTTAGTTAGTTACCTAACGTTACCTTACTTAGTTCTCCTGGAGTTCTTACAAGTGTGTGCCAGGCTACAGCCCACAGCTACTTCATAAAACAAAGAGCTAACCGTTAACTTAGCTAGTTAGTACGTACAGTGCTTTACATGGCTCGGTGGTGGCTCTCTCGTGTAAAAGCCATCGGCACAAACCTCTTCTCCAGCGGTCGCCCTGATGTAGGAGGAGTAGCTGAGGGCGGTGTGTCTCAGGACGTCGTCGTCCAGCTCGGGGTAGTGCTGGTCGGCTGTCCCGGGCTCCGCCGCTTCGTTGAGGCTCGGGCTTCGAGAGATAACGTTAGCCGCTGCGCCAAAGCTGGGGCTCTGCGACACGGTGCCGCTGCTGAGGATCTCGCTCACCATGGACAAACTGCTCGCACTTTGGGAAACAATGCCGCTGTCTCTGCTTATCTCAGCGCTGGACTCCTCCAGGGGGGACAGAAGACCCACCCTGTCCACTCGATGATGGTCCATGTCGCCTGTCTTTCTGTCTGATTACTGCCGTGTTTTGCCCCTGTCAACTGACTGGATCACGTGTGTTGTGCAGCCGATGGTAACTCACGAGGGTCAAAACAGCGTGGCGCACTATGAAGCGTTGGGAACTTTTACTTTTTAGCCCACCTTACGATAATGTGACTATAGTATTAATGGTATAATTAAAGTAAATGAATAAAATATATATTTTCTAACACAAACACAATAATTTTGGAATTGTATCATCAAAAACTGTCTTGAAACAAAGCCTTGTAGTGAATAGATAGACAGGATAGTCGTTCATAAAAGGGTGTCAAAAGTCATCAGCAAAACAAATTACTTTTGAAACAGGAAAACCACAAAACTATGGTGATGAGTCTGATTGGAAAATGTAATTTCATGTCATGATTAAAAAATATAGACTTACTCTTTCAAACCAAAAACACTCTTCGTGAGAAATCATGCAAATGTCAGTATTTTATGACACTGATGTTCATTGCCTGTGTTGTACAGTTCATGACAAACCATGTCATTGCAATCTCGGCCAGCAGATGGCAGCCAGAATTACTGCATGGCAATGGATGGACCCTTGTAGTTTGCCCAGTGCTGATACAGAGCAGAGGCATAAGCTATAGAATTGTTTATCATACCTTTCATACAAAATATCTAATGGAATGAATCAGCTGTCAAATCAGTTTATTTGGAGAAGATGCAGGAGTGAATTCCCCTCAATACAAAATCTACATTTAGTCACAGGTAAAAGATTTACTTATATTGTATTGGTATGGAGTATTTTTTGCATCACATCACAAAGAAATTCCCTTCTTTTATGTTGTTTTACTGTAATCTTTAACGTCAGTTTTAAACAGTCTACACTTGAATCTCAAAAACTGCTAGCTGAGCATCTGTGTCACATATGAGGAACATAAGGTAGTTCTTTCACACATCAGTGCTAAAACTATTTCAAACTACAAGGACCTACTGCAAATGCATGTTTTTTTTCCAGCAGTGATAACACAAGACTGATTGTGTGACATCCAGGATTTTAGGTCTGCCAATACACTCAAATCTGCGGATTACTGGCACAAACTGCAGCCAAAGCAGACCAGTTGGGTGTAAATGATCTATTAGCTGTTTGAGCAGTGTGGCATCTTGAGTAAACACAGCAGACCAACATTCATTAGCAGAGAGGTGAAAGAAGTTTGCTTCTGCTATAGGGCCTCCTGACCCAGGACACAGCTGCATTCCTGCTACATGTCCATGTTAAATATACTGACTGTAGCCAACAGCCAGAGGGTGATAAAGACTGTTTGTACCTGATAAAAGAAAATTCAACCTTCAGTCTTCACTGTGATGTCTAGAGCTAATTATTTTGTGATGAAACTTGACCTACATACCCTACATACCTACCATTTAACATGATTGGAGTGAGGTTAAAGTGGCAATAAAAAAATGCTCTTAATTGTTTATTATTAATAATCATACTATCAGTGATCAGTGTGGTTTTACCTAGTTTGTGTAGGTAGAGGATGAAAACATCTTCACAGTTTTACTGTAGCTGCAGAATGGTAACAACACTACCAGTAATGTCACGCCCCTTACGTCATGTTTTGTGGTTATGCATTCCTCGTCTACAGATGCTGTTGGTGAAGAAATTACGACGTCAGCTTCTGCTGTGATTATTTGCTGTGTTTACTGTTTATGCACCCACAACAAAGAGATGAAATTGAGGATCTAAAATGAGGTTAAACTCAGACAAACTTTCATCTGTCAGTGAAACACTTCGGTTAATTTTCAACGTTTTGACACAATGGTCTGTTGTTTTTTTTTTACCACTGATGGGCAAATTAACATTTTTGAAGGATAGGAAGTTGTATTTTCAAATGAACTTATGCTCCACGTCCTCACAGGTGCAATAGTAGTAGCAATTCAAATTATAACATCTCCAACGCAGATAAAATTATACAAATGAGCAATGAGCGACTTGAATTCCACAATCCAAATCTTTAGGAACCATAAATGTAACTACTGAACCAAACATCATGTCCCTAAGTTTGCAAAATTGTGAGACTTAGAATAATTTATTGGAACAGATACAAGGATTTGATCACAATCATCAATGCATAAAAAGACTATTAAAAAAAATCCATACTCTACACAGCATTTATCAGAATATAAGAAATATAGATTTACTCTTTAAAAACATCCATAAGCAACCCCAAATTGGTCCCAGTAATAAGAATGAAAAGGATCTTAATAAAAGTGGTCACTAACAGAAGATATTAGGCTGTAGGCACATTCAGAACTCTAGAATACAGTGGACTCACCTAAAAACAGTTTGTTCTGATGCTTATTACATACATACATACAAACAAATCTTTTGATGTAAGACAAAGACAACTTAAAAAATACAGGAAATATATACAATACATTTTCATTGTTTCCTGGCTTGTAACTTCCTATTAACAATTATCTTGTAAAAACAAATAGAAGTTACAAAATTAGTGTCTGACCAAGCACGCTCATGCTCATATTTATCCAGTTTTAGTCTCTGAGCAGTTGGGATGTTTCTGTCTGTTCGTGTGTGTGTTTGTGAGTATTATAGGGTAATGACGGTCCCATCCTCCTCCACCCCTCCTCTGGGCAGTGCAAGACTGTGCCGTGGGTCCGTTTTCATGGAGCTGAGGATTTTGTGCAGGCTGCCGTTGCTGTGGCGGAGGGCTGGGTTGCTGCTGTGATGCGGAGGCTGTACATGGTGCTGACGGTGCTGGGACTGTTGGTGCGGGTTGTGCTGAAGATTCAGGTCTCTGTGGAGCTGGTAGCTGAGGCTGCTGTGTTGGTTGTGGTGGTGATGGGACCCTCCATTGAGGCTCGGCTGGGAGTGGAAGGAGGCAGTGGAGACCACCGATGAAGGACGTGTGGGAGGGCTCGGAGGTGCAGCTGGGCCTGAAGCGGTTGTTGGCGTCTGCTGGTGTATGCGAGACGCACTGGACGCCAGGGAAGCATTGGACCTCTGAGACGGCCGCTTAAGGCTGCTCTCAATGACAATATCTGTCTCTTCGTCACTCTCCAGGTCGTCTTGGTACCCATGTGCTCCAGAGGAAATCACCCCCACTGAGGCTACCGACAAACTCGGGTAACCAGTCGACCCGCTGCTGTCAGACGACTGGCCTGAGCTCCCCGAGATCCTGCTGCTGCGGACCACATTATTGCGCTGGTTCACTGGCTTGACTGTCACAATCAGGTTATGGCTGTTGGCGATCATCATATCCGTTACCTGATCTAAGGACTTTCCAGTCACTTCGATGCCGTTCACTTCCAGCACCTCATCGTTGACCGCTAGCAGCCCGGTGCTCTCCGCCAACCCTCCAGGCACCAGCCGAGATATGAAGATGCCAGGCACTTTCTCAAGCCCGTGTGGCGTCACACGCACACTGGTTCCATCTCGGATGTAAAAGCCCAGGGGTTTGTCCGAACCGTGCCGATACAGTCGCACACGGCGGTGAGATTCAGGTAGGATGTCCACATCGATGATAGAGGAGACTGGCCGGAAGTCCTGGGGCATGCCGATGCGGATGTGTGGCCGCTTGCGATTGATGTCATTATTGCGCAGCGCGACCACCGCCTTCTTCTTACGAGTTATTGTGTTGGTGCCAAAGTTAGCATAGTCGACCTCTTCTGCAAAAAAAAGAAATAAAGGGAGACATAAACAAAAAGTGTTAGGGATTAGATGTTTACTGTTTAATCATTGTTAATGTGCAGGCAACATTCTTCTTTCAAACATGTGTACCCCAAATTTGAAAAAAAGGGGGAAAAAGGAAAAACTAAAATACCTTAAGGCACAAAAAGATTAGGAAAGGAGGATTTGAAAAGTTAAAACAAACTGACAACAGAAACATTTTCCATCTTGAAACTACAGAACCTGTACATGAACGCTCCAGCCTTTGCCTACATCTTTAAATCAAACCACCTGCCTTACAAACTCAAAAACCTTTGTTAAAACTACGCACAGATGTGCTTGAAAGTACTTTTCCTGTTAAGGACCTGCTAATCATTTATACAGATTTTACTCAGTATGTGACATAACACAGTTCTTATAACTGAGGCCATAAACAAGGCCTGAGTCCTTGCTGGTTTCCTCTACAATGCTTTTTTTTTTAACGACGTGTCCCACCTATATATTAAAAATGATATGTAAGCATGTCAACTGCATTCACATACTGCTAATACTGAGACTCTGTGTGTGAATGTTCACATAAAATGCTGAGTGTGCAGGGCATTCCTGCCTGTGCTGACAGAGGTGAACCACCCTTTTGCTACCAGGCAGCCGCTGTAGGGATTCCCAGTGTGCCTTTTCATGCACAGGCACATACATGTACTATCCCCAGTACGAACATGGTACTGTTAAAAAAAATACTACTCAACTAGTATGAGCCTGCAAAGAATACAATACAATGTGGAAAGAATGAGCTGTGAAGGAAGATCAGTGTGGTAATCTCAGCGGAAGCATGAGGTTTTCCAACCAGAGATTTAAAGCAATCAATAAAACAATGAAAACCTTCATGGGAGGACTAGATCACCTTCGCAACGAGAGAGTGGCTTCTTTAGAACAACATAGTGGCTGCCAAACAAACTACATACCCCAGCTTAGATGGAATAAAATAAAGGACGGAGAATTGAGGAAACTATGGGGTATAACACTAAAATGCCTCTGGTAAATTAGTTCATGGAGTTCTGACAGAGTGTGAGACTGGGAGAAATGACACAGTGCGCTGCATGATGAAAACAATAATAACTTGATAGCTCTCTAATCTTCCCCTCTCAGGAAGACAGGAAATCTGGACCCAGTTAAGCCTGATGTGACAGGAAGTGAAGATCCCCAGGCGGGGAGCATCAGCTCCTGCACTTCCATGGCAACCGCAATGAGTCATCTTTGCCCTACTGTTTGGGACACCTGCTTGTGTGAAATGACTGCGGGTGCGCACACTGGCATTTTTGGCCCCATCTTTAAAGTAGACTGTGGAAGGAGAGTGGACTGAAACAAACATGGACTCTCCCAGCAGAGCCAGCTGGCCAGTCATCCCTCCAGCCACAAAGGAGTGTTGATGACTGCCATACGACTCCCTATGCAATGCTGA